ACAGGGAGAACATGCAAACTCTACACAGGTAGTGTCCATATTGGGATTCAAACTGAGGACCTCTGTGCTGCAAGGAAGGAGTGCTAACCACCAAATATGGATCCTGCCATTGCTGTCCTCATTTTAAAAATACTGCTTTTTGGGTCACTGACTCAAAGTGAATATATATACTTTTCTCTTGCTTTCACGATCTACACTATATGGCCAACAGTTTAAGGACACCTGACCATTAGTGATGAGGTGGGGGTTGGTGTAAACCCAGTTCACCTCAGTGTTCACCCAAGCTCGCTCAAAACTGTGACCAACACTCCCTGATCCTGGCCCACTCAGTTGTGGCAGGCGCATTCCTGACCCTGTAAGTAAATGTCACAAAGGGGCAAGGAATGTCACTGCCACCACTAATAGGGCTGTAGGGGGTGGTCACAGTTTTGAGTGGCCTTGGGTGACTTCAGGTGAATTGGGGTCGCACCAAGCTCCAGCTCATCACTACTGACCATCCCACTTATATGAGCCTCTTGGACATTTCATTTCAAAACCATAGGCAATAATATAGTGCCCCCTGTACTTCCCTTCAAAGTAGGCTACTCTGGGAAGGCTTTTAACAAACGTTTGTAGAGTGTGTCCATTCAGCCAGCAAAGAATTGGTGAGGTCATTGACTGATGTTGGAACAGAAAAGGACCTTCGCCAAACTGTTACCACAAGGTTGGCAGCACACAATAGTTATAGGTGAGTTTATATGTAGCAGTACCTCACTGGAAACACCTGAACGCAATATAATTTGGATGGGCTCCCACCTACTTTTAGCCATATAGTCTGCATACTTGTTCTAGGTTGGTGACCTGAAAAATACTGGAGCCAAAAAGTCAGTCAGAAAAACAGCTAGGTGGAGCATTTTAGTCTCATGACAGGATTGCTTTTAACTTCTTCTCTAAAGAAACTCTCTAACTTCTCTAAATTATATTTTAGAAGGGAAAATATAGGTACTTCACACCTCTACGCCTGTGAGAATGTTCTCGGTGGTACAACCCAGGTACACCTTCCTACAACCACGAATGCTGGAGTATGCTGTCGTCAGATCACTATGGGTATTTTGACACTGCCTTGCTTACCCCAAGCCTGCCCATAAGGCCAATTCAGTTGGTTTCGGGGGCCTACTTTGTTTTCACTGGCTATAATTAAAACACTCAAGTAGATGCATGTTTGCAGAGGCTGATTTAGGATTAGGCGTTAGAATAAGTTTAGGGGCAAGGAATGGGGTTAAAGTTTAGATGATCAAGCTTTGGGTTAAGTTTTAAGGTGCAAGTTAAGGACTGATTAACTGAAGTCAAGAGCTGATTTTAGAGTTAGGTTAAAGTAGATGTAAACTATTAATTAAATTACATGTAGGGGCCTATTCATAGCAAAGTGTGGATTCTATTATCTGCCCTTTGCTGGACAGCACAGTGTTTACTCTACACCATTGTCTGTAAGTCATTCATAAAATGCAGGCTGTGGTGTGGGGACTGCACTGTCCCATGAAGTCCTCCCTGCTCTCACTACAGAGAGATCTTTGTGATTGGAGGAGAGGCGCCCAGCCACCCGGCATCTTTTTTTATCCATTGTCATGAATAGAGCTCTGTTTGCTTGGAGCCCTGAAGCAACCAGAGCATAAAGCACATTTGTAAAGCACGCCACTGTGCTTTATAAATATATGTGTTTATTTTAGGCAGCGGTATAGCCATGGCAAGGCTATACTGCTGTTTGATAAATGGGGCCCCTAGTTTGCTAAAACACTGTGTATCATAAACAGTTGCTGTTTAATCAAATACAATGCTTGTTTACAAAAATTTTCCCATTCTACAAAACTGCAAAAGCCACGTACGGCCGAACAAAAAGCATCTTGCGGGCAGAAGTAACCTACAGCAACCAATCAGAAATTACACTTCACTAATCTGCTATTAAATTGCACCTCTGCCCAGTCTATAGACATTAACGTATTTATATTTTCAACCAGTATTAAAAAAAGTGATTTAAACAAATCCTCCTTGACCTCTCTAGCTGTATGTAACGTAAAATAATTAATTCTCAAAGATCTTTAAATCACAATATAGACTTCTAGCCCTGGTTTACATTTGTTGAGGTACAGCTCCAAGTTCGCTTCCATGATGGACTATAACTTCAATATAAATTAGTAAACTAAACATGAGATTCTAGTCCATCACGGGACTCTTCACTTCAATTTACCATTACAGTTTGCAGTGCAAAGCTTGTAAATTACAGTTACAGCATACCCCCACACACCTGTTTTCCTAGTGTCTGACTCATTATTACTTTCTAAAAGCTTCTATTTGGCTAACAGGAAATGTAATACAAAACAGCATAGAACCAATCCATAAGATTGTAATTCATTATTATTACATTATTCATAACTCACTTGTGTTTTTTTTTTTCAAAATGATGGAATTCCACTGAAACAGTAGAAGCAGCACTTTGATGCCACACAGTCAGTAAATTTAAAGCTGAACTCCAGGCAAACCACTAACTAGGGATGCACCGATACTGATACTAGTATCGGTATTGGTGCCAATACCAAGTATTTGGGCCAGTACTCGTACTGGCCCAAATGCTCTGATATTTACCCCCGATACAGTTTTATTTTACAAATTAATAAGGGGGCAGTATATTATTTAATGTGTGTGTGGGGGCTTATAACGGGGGGAGTGTATTATTTTTTGTGTGCGTGGGGGATTTTATTATTATATTTGTGCGGGGGGGGGG